TTTTTTTAAATCTACCGCGCTTAGTCCACACCTCTCGAACTATTGATTTTAAAGCAAATCTATCGAAAAAAATTAAGTACCTTTCCTCCATTCCAAAGTGGTTTGTCTCATACATTTCTTTTGTGAAACAGTTTAACCGACAAACAAATATACCATTAATTCCCATACTACAGATGATATTTTTTTATATTCTTCCAAAAAGTGCCTGAACAGGCCAACTATTTATTACGGAAATTAGACTTAGGCCCGTATCGTCAGTCGTCCCTACAATTGTAGGGAGGCCTTTATGGCCTCCTTGATTGTCAGAGTTTTCTACTGCTCCGTGCCAGAACTCTATTTTGAGGTTATGTCACAACATCTATTTGCATCAATTGTGCTTGCTTTTGAGTTTATATCATGTTTTATCAGCCTGAAATTTCCTACAACTTAAAAAGAAAACATATCTTCACAATAGGAGAGCGCTGACGCTGACACGGGACAAGTGTAATCTAGAAATTTTTGAAGGAGAGAAAGGAGTATGACAATCAAGGAGGGCCATAAACGCGCCCTACAATGTAGGGATGACTGACCATACGGGCCTTAAATACCGATATATCAAACTGCTTTATTCAAAAATCGCTATAGCTCTGATAGGGAGTGCCACAATTAGTATTCAATTTGGCGTTTCCAACATGACACACATAAATTTGTATAAAGACAAAAACAAAAAACTGGTAGATTCATACCTGCTCATCCGTAGGAGTATTATGTAAAAAACCTAAAAAAAAACGTAACGTCAAAAGAACTGTCAAAATGTCATCTTGCAGACTAGGTAGTTCTTACTGTGCAGATAGTTCATTCTACATTTGCTCGCTATGATCGCTGTGATATCTATCTCTATCAGTGATATTTGGTATGTGAGGAAATTATTACTGAATATGCTGCCAATGAAGTACAAATATATCTATTAGCTGTACCCGACGGGTTATTTATATGTTGCTCTTTCTAAAAGACCGGTTATGTTCAAAGTTATAAATTACGTTTCTTCCCGTTTTTGTTTGTATTGGGTTGTCGGAAAAGTCATGACGCTTTTTTTGTTTATTTTAAGGCCATTTTATTCATATACAGCACAAACTTCAATCAATAATGTATTGCCCATTTTGATCGATGACCTTTCGCCATCTTTCAGGCAGCTTCATATTCCTCGCTCGTAGAAGGATTTGTCTTTTACCGGCAAAAAATTGAACAAGGTGCTGATATACAGCTTCATCTGAAGTAAAGCGTATTTCTCGCAAGGAATTTGAAGCGACCGAAACAAATGAAAATCAGATGGGGCAAGATCAGGCGAGTATGCTGGATGTGGTAACACATCTCATCCTAACTCCAATAACTTTTGACGAGTGAGCAAACTTGTGTGCGGTCTCGCGTTGTCATGGTGGAACACAACTCCTTTGCGATTAATGAGCTCCGGACGTTTTTGCATGATGGATTGTTGCAAACTGTCCATTGCCGACAATACACAGTTGTATCGATGGTTTTGGTTCTTTGGCAGGAGTTCGAAAAACACGATCCCTTTAAAATCCCACCAAACAGAGAGCATCACCTTTTCCTGATGACTCTCTGCTTTCGCGATCGTGTTACGCGTATCTACACTTCGGGACCAAGACCGTTTGCGAACCACATTGTTGTAAACAATCCACTTTTCATCTCCCGTTATTAAGCGCTTTAAGAAATGATCGTTTTCCTCACGTTTAAGGAGCATATCGCAGATGTCTACACGCGCCGTCAAATGAACCTCTCTCAGTTCGTGTGGTACCCAACGATCGAGTTTGCTTACGTATCCCAGTTTCTTCAAATGGTCATGAACGGTTGAATGATGGATTTTTAAGGTTTTCTGCAATTTCCCGTGTGGTGTAATGTGGGTTTGCTCCTACCAATGCCTTTAATTCGTCACTATCCAACTCAGTAGACCGCCCTGATCGAGGTGCGTCATGGATATCAAAATCCCCATCTCGGAATTTTTTAAAACCATCTCTGGCATTGCCGTTCTTGTAGTGCATGTTCTCCATAAACCTTTCTCAACTTTTTCACACGCTTGTCTTGCGTTCTTGCCTTTGCGGAAGTAATACAGCAAAATGTGACGAAAATGCTCAGTTTGGTCGTCCATCTTCAACGTCCTCTAAAATCGACGAGACTCAATAAATCACTTAATTTTTTGGTGCAAATGAAGCTTGAAGTGTCAACTGTCAAACTACACAATCAACATGTCATTGACTCACGTACTTCCAACCATGCAATTGCATACTTTGTTGCATATACGTCATGACTTTTCCGACAACCCATATTTTCAAAAACTTTGGGGAGAATTACAGGAAATCACCACCGCGCTTACGTTAACTGTAATGCTAATGCGTAACACATGCTAACCTCAAACCGTGGACTTGGCAACAGCGCGAAGGTCCTTGCAGCAGACAATTAGTTCCTTGATAAGCGCTACCCCGGCCTTGCAGGCGATCTTTCGGATAAATGGCTAGGTACAATAGTAGACAGCATGCATTTATCAAGATTCTTTTCTGGAATTGTTTGGGTCTTGGGGATATTCCCAAAAAACGGGGAATTTCATCAAGTACTTTTGGATGAGAGTATATAAGTGGCTCTGATGCAGGAAATATTGCTTAATCCGGGAGATCGTCTAGCTTTCCCGAATTGTGATGTCATCCGAGCTGATAGATTAACTGGACGGGGGTGGCGGCTTGGCAGTCCTAGCGAAACGTGGTATTGACTACCATAGAAGCACAAATGCCAACGTGCAGAGCATTGAGGCGGCTTCCGTGGAGGTTAATATGACGGGACGTGTCCCATTGATCACATCGGTGTATGTCAGGTGTGGTGCCAGGCTGCAGGAGGCGGACCTGGAAGTCTTTATGGACTACTCTGGTCCGCTTATTGTAGCGGGGGACTTCAACTGCAAACACAGAGCATGGCATTCTAGGTTGAATTCAACCAGTACGATTCGACTGTACAACCATGTGATACGAACGGCTACCTCATACAGAGTACTGAAGAGCCCACGCATCACCCATTTAATTACCTTCAGGTACCAGATGTCATCGACTTTGCAATATCTAGAAACTGTAGATACAATATGCCTTCTCGAATTATGTATGACATTTCTAGCGATCATCTTTCTGTCAGACTGGAAGTGGGTAATGAGCAAACCTTGGAAGAGGGAACTTCTCCAAGGAAACGGGTTGATTGGGAACTACACAAGTTGTTTCTCAGAGAGTTCTCCAATATCCCGATCATAGGTGATCAGAACGGTATAGACGCGGCTCAGGCGGAGTGGACAAGCTTCGTACAGCAAGTTCTGCAGCGTGCAGCTGTACTGCAGACGTTCGTCAGAAAATTTATGACAAAAGGGCTGCAATTAAGCAAGCGAAAAGGTCTTGCCATCCTGATGACATTCGCTGAGCGACGAATCTTGTTCATCAAGTAAGAAATGCTCGCCATGAATTCCGTAATGAGCAATGGAACGATTTTCTGGCGGGAATGCTTGACTCAAGTACTCCTCTCTAGAAAGTGGCGAAGTCGCTCAGAAACGAAAAGCGAGAACAACTCCCGCACATCCACGGTCCTGGGGACATAGTCTTCAGGTCAGAGGACAAGGTCGATGTTTTAGCTGATTCTATGGAACGACAGTTCTCTCCCAACCATGATCTTGATAATGTTCTCGACGAGGAGCAACAAATTTTAAGATCCGTCAGGAGATATTTTAGGGCCAACGGCGTCAGTGATCCCGGTGCCGCCATTAGTGATTCATTCACAGAAGATTCTTTTTCGGAAGATTCTTCAGCTGAAGAGTTGCACAGCACATCAGCGGCTTCTCCTGAGATCCCGCATTGTACACCAGCAGAGCTTCAAGGTCATATTAAAGACCTCACGGCGCGTAAAGCGCCTGGGGAGGCTCAAATCACTAATAAGGCGCTGAAGCTGCTTTCACGGAAGTCCTTGACTTATCTCGTGGCTATTATCAATGCCATGCTAAGGACCCAGTACTTTCCATTGGCGGAAGTTATAATGATTCCAAAGGAGGTGGGTTTGATTTTTCCCCAGGACTATCGTCCCATCAGCCTACTGTCTGCTCTGTCTAAGCTCGCTGAAAAGGTGATTCTGCGTCACCTCGCGAATTTCTCGTTAGATCACCATGTGATTCCTGACGTGCAATTTGAATTTCGGTCTGAGCATAGTTCAGAGTTACAGGCGGTTAGGCTTGTGGAGCGAGTAACTAGTGGCTTCACCCTTAACGAAAGTACTGGCATCTTGCTTCTGGGTGTCGGAAGGCATTTGACAAGGTGTGACACAAGGGCCTTCTCTATAAACTAATTCAGAAGGGCTTTCCATTTTGGCTCCTAAGACTTTTGAATTCCTTCCCTGAAGGTAGGGAATTTCGGATCAAGATTAATAATTTCTTGTAGACAGTACGGCCTGTCAGAGCCGGCGTCCCCCGGGTTTAGGGATAATCCTTTACTTACTTTTCACGCATGATGTCCCTTGCCCTAGCGACTGCGAAGTCTATCTATATGCTGATGACACTGTACTGGTGGCCCAGTCGCGTACCGGGTATCTGGTTCACGACAGGGTACAAAGTACGGTGGATGAGGTATTGGAATGGGCAGATTGGTGGCTAATCAAAATTAATTATTCGAAAACGCAGGCTATCTATTGTACTAAAAACCGTAGCGGCACCCGGCATGAGGTTTCAGTGAATGGAGCTCGCATACCATGAGGAAATTCTATTAAGTATCTCGGTGTCACTCTTGACAGGGGAATGACCTGACAGAATCACACTGAAGCGTTAAAACTAAATTCCAAATTACGTTTCGGCAACTCTAACCTTTACGAGGGATGTCTTTTAAGTTTTGCAAATGGAAATAAAACAACACGGTAGGTAGTTTTAAATGACTTTATTGTTTTTCGAAGTATCATCCACGAAAATTAATACAAATCTGCATGCGCTCGAACTAATTTTCGAAGCACTTATACCAGTCGTTTGCTCGCAGATCCAAAACGGCATTTTTGAATGCGTCAACTGCTTCTTTTGGTGACTGGAACCTTTGACCACGCAGTCTATTTTTAATTTTCGCGAAAGTAAAGAAATCGTTAGGGCTTAGATCGGGACTATATGGAGAATGGTACAATAATTCCTCGTTTTCTTTCGTTAAATACTGCCTTGTTTTTTGGGCTGCGTGCGAGCTTGCATTGTCTTGGTGGAGGATGATTCTTCTTTCGGGGTTGCAACACATGCTGTACACATTTTTTGAGTTTCCGGAATTGAAACGGTCAAGCGTTTTTTGAGACCAATTAACCCTGGCTGCTTTCTGCTCTTCAGTCAACAGGTGGGGTATCCAACGAGAAACTAATTTTCTTACTCCTAATTCTTCATGTAAAATCTTTTGAATTGAGGTTTTTGAGATCCTCAAGGACGCCTCAATCTCGCGATATGTCACATGTCTATTTTCACTGATGAGTTTGAGCACAAAATCGACGTTTTGCTGGGTGACTGCCGTTTTTGGTACACCCACCCTGGGATCGTCGCTAAGACTCACCCGACCACGTTTGAATTCTCCATGCGAACGGGAAATTGTCGACTGATGTGGCGCTTCGTTGCCGAAAAAAGACAGTAACTCAGCAAGGCATTCTTGTTGCGATAATTGTCCTTGAAAGTTCGAATAGAGAATACATGCTAACAGTAATGTTAGCATGTGTTATGACTTGTATGTAAGTATGAAATATAAAATTCCACATAAAGTTAATTACTTCACCAACCAAGAATTTTCTTCTCTTATCTCTCTCATTTTTGGAATTGAGCAGATTTAGATATGTAATTTCCAGAATGAATAAGAAAAAGTGGATGCGCAACTAACTTCTAGCCTTGATAGTGAATTTGAGACAAGAAATCAAAGGAATTATCATCAATACAGATTATTAGCACACAAATCGTCACTATGCACCTACGCACTGCTGATTATTTTCAGCTATAGTATACAACTTAGACCTGCAATAATGCCATCTCTGAAGAATGTTATTTGTTTCGAGCTAAGAAGTACTTTTCTCCAAATAACCTTCCTCTGTACAAATCCCAGATAAGACCTAGCTTTGAGTACTGCTCACATGTTCGGTGTGCTGCCGCCCCATTACATTATCTATGTTCGGTACTGTTCAGAGGAAGGATATTCGACTGATCGATGACTCTTCCCTAACAGACCTTTTCGTATTGACGGCGATCTACCGCGCTTCTACCGCTATGCCAATGGACTTTGCTCCTCAGTGTTCTCCTCCATGATGCCGCCGCGCGATGAGCCTGCCAGAAATATCCTAACTGTGTCAAACTGCGTACATCCAGAATTGGCCGATAGGACCTTTTTCCCTATGGTACCCAGATTGTGGAACAATCTACGTGAAAAGGCTTTTCGCAGTTCTACTAACCTTAGGCAGTTCAGAAGTCGTATTAACGAATTTTATTTGAGCTCCTCATAGCAACCGCGGTGCTCTAGTATTTAGACGCCTGCCTAAATATAAAAAAATGCGTGATAAGTTTTGTGGTTTACAGTTTAGGTGCACTAATTTTTCAGTTTTTGTGTTAGGTTAAAAGTGTGATTTGGAATGTAGATTTCTATATTTTATTTTTGTTGATACATTTCAGTTTAGTGAATAAGTGATTTTCGTAAATGCCTTTTTTGCTCCTTGTACCTCAACCACCGCAAAAATTCACTATCTATCGCAAAATTTCGCACAATTTTACCCAAAACATATCGTCTGCCAGCAGCATGTGTATCCTCATAGCTTCAGCCTGTATATATTATATATTGCTTGTTTACAGGACTACAAATTAGAAAAAGTAAGAGAAGTTTAACGAATCTAATTGTCTGGTTTCTCATAATATCGTACGCCGCTGAGTATCGCAAAATTAGCTGAACAAAGTTGAAAAAACCACGTTTTGTGTTACAAGTAGATGATACCTTAAGTCTCCTGCACCCGTTAGTTCCAGGCCAGGAGTTCAACCACTCTAACATGTAACGGCCAAGTGGGACAAGGATCGAACAACTGTGCTAGTAATCCACGCGAAAGCGCCGTATACTTAAAGAATGGCGAAGAATTTAAGATCAGCGAGCCAGGAAAGCTGTAAAAGACAACGTCAATGACTTTACATTTGTTCGGAAGAGGAGCGCCGTTACTTAATCCGAAGGTGTTATAGTTCAGTATTCTTGTACCATGACAATTCATTATGCATGTGTGATATTGACATAATCCAGGCTTTGACTTGGGTACATGGGATTAATTGGATATTGGGATATTGTGGAATATTCTAATATCATTTATCATTTAGAAGTAAATAAAATCCTCCCCGATGCACAGCGCTTATAAAAGTAACTGGCGATATAGTCAAGTTCATGGATGATGGTGTGGTGACCATATTCATGATGTTGGATTACATTAAGGCATCTGACCTGGTCAACCATGAAGTAGTATGTAAAAAGCTACGATATTATGGCTTGTCTAATAATGCCTTAACAAAATGTCCACTTTACAAAATATAATTTCTGGTGTTCGGCTAGGAAGTGTATTAGGTCATTTACTACTTACATTCTGTACATCTGATTTATCAAATTTGTATCACATGATGGGAATACAGGGTGCCCGCAAAGTTGGGGTTTTCCTTTTCAGAAACAACTACCCTTGAAATAACAAAGGTAATGTGTAGTGAAACGAGGGCGATCAAGTAAAAAAAAATAAAGGATAAAGTACTCACTCTCCAGTTGACGAGAAGGGCTAAGTACGTCTCTGCCCGAAATCGTACCGCTCCAACAGAAAATGAAATCAGCTGATGCGCTACCGAGCAGACGCAGGCAAACCAGGAAGGCAAAATGTTGCGTAAAAAGTCTAGGTATTGCATCCCGTCCAATCGATTTGGGAGAATAAATGGTCCAATGAGCATACCGTTCACCATGCCAGCCCAAACATTCACCGAAAAGGTTTGTTGAAAATGTGCCCGGCGGACAGCGTGCGGATTTTCTACTGACCAAACATGAGTGTTGCGAAAGTTATTCACCCCATTACGCGTGAACGTAGATTCGTCTGTCACCAATATGCACTTCAAAAAGTCTGGATTATTGTCATGTTGATGCACCAACCACTCACAAAACCGCACTCTTGCTGGAAAATCGTCAGGTTGAAGGGCTTGTACACGTTGGACGTGAAACGGATACAGCCCCTCCTCACGCAGCGTTTGCCACACTTTAGTTTTTGATACTTGCACTTCTCTAGCCAAGTCTCTAGTGCTTGTTGAGGGATTCTCGTCTACGCGATTACCTCTACACGCGTGACCGTAACCGTCGGTTGAAGGTTGCATACTGACCTGACACACTGACCCCGACCCAGTTCTGTCGTCGGGTTGAGCTAGTGTCCTAGTACCACTCGGGGATGTCGCGGCTACAGGACGGTATTCAGATATTTTTGATGTTGCAGAACCCTTTATCTCGGTTCCCTTAAGACATTGGTGTGTATGGTACTAAGATAAATTGCTTATGTTTTCAAGATCTACACGTCGTGTAAAGGAAAACCCCAACTTTGCGGACACCCTGTATACATCTATATGCTGATGATGTACAAATGTATAAAGCTTGCAAGCCAAATGAAAATTATTCATTGATTTCAGAATTAAATATAAATCTAGAAATGATTGCAAACTATTCCAAGAAGTATTGTTTGAAACTGAATCCCTCAAAAACTAAATCTTGCTGCATTGGTTCTAGGTTAAATATTTTAAAACTTAAAGAATTGATGAGTACAGACATTGTTTTAGGTGACACAGTTGTTGAAATTGTAGAGGAGACTAAGAATCTAGCAATTTTATTGAACACAAATTTAGGTTTTGAGAACCATGTCATTAATAAACTTCGAGTATGCTATTGTAAATATAAGTCACTTTGGAGATACAAAAATGTTTAACCAGGGATATAAAATTAAGACTTACTAACGCACTAATCCTCACTGATATAGACTATGGCGCTACAGTATATTATAATTTTCTTACGGAAGTCATAAAGCACAGAATTCAAGTATTACAAAACTACTGCATGAGATTCTGTTTCAAAGATATACATAAACAAGAACGTATTACTGGATATTATGTGAGAGAAAATGTTTTAAAATTCAAGCATCGCGTATTACTTCAGTATGGAACTCTACTGTATAAAGTTTTAAAATATAAATTACCCAGATATCTGTTTATTGCTTTGGGGGAGAGATGTTCACTCCGCCAAGTTCCCTTACGTAACAATACCTACTTCAATAGTCCTGTACATACAACGTTTAAATTCAAAAAACATTTTACTTACACGGCACCATAACTACTGAACGATTATTTAGAGCTTTTTGAAGCACCTTCCAATCCAAAACTTCAGAAATGAGATGGAAAAAGTGCTACTACAGCTACAGAGATTTGAATCCACAAATTAAATTTATGGCGCTTGCTACAGTATGTTCCTTTAACACTCAGACTATATCGTATTATATTCTGTGTTGTGCATATTTGTTGTGAATCATACTAATCATTGTGTTGATGTTACATAAACGCTCATGAAATTAACTTCTTAGGGGGAGGTGAAAAATGGCGGTGCCAATCCTCTTTCCTTTTGGAATGTTGTCGTTTTTATATCTTTTATGCATATACGAGCCCCTTCCCACTTCAGTTGGTCCAACTATTGAAATCTTAGTTTTTTTCTTATCAAACACAAATAATAAAAATGTAGCAGGGTGTTATACATGTTGCAATTACAGCATATCAACCAATTTTCATTTCAATGCAAAATAAGTCTATAACGCATAGCTGGCTGTGAAAAATAAAAGCCATGACAATTGTTTTTATTAACCACAGCTGTCAGAATACGTTTAAAATAGTTTTGGGTAGTTAAGGTTTTCAAAATGGGTAGAGGAAAGGTTATTAGTGAGAAAATTCGGTTACTGGTAATCAAATTTTTTAATTCTGGGAAATCAAACTCAGAAATTGCAACTTATCGCGGTACAGTGTGAGAAATATTGTTAGAAGATATGACGCAACTGGTTCAGTTAATATTAAGCCACGATATGTGAAAAAAAGTAATATCACAAACGCCGACCGAAGAGCATTAAAAAGAATAATCGTGAAAAACAGGCGTGCCAATTATTTATAATTAAGTGCTCTGTGGAGTGACGCTGTTGGAAGGAGAATTTCGAGGTCCACAACTCATAGAGAGGAGCAGAAACTGGGATTTAGCACTTAGTTTCTTTTTAAAAAAAAGTGAAGTAAAAACCCTAAACTTGCACAACTTGTTTATAGGCCAAAGAAAAGCCACTCCACTGCAAAAGAAAAATCGGCTTAGATGAGCTAAAGAACATAGACAATGGGCACCTCAACAATGGTGTGCAATACAATGGAGCGATGAGGCCCGATTCGAAGTTTATGTTGGTGACAGTCGCAGTAGAGTTATTCGCAAAAAATATGAAGCATTCCATGTTGACTGTCTGAAGAGAAATGTGAAATTTCCAGCATCCATTATGGTTTGGGGCAGTATGTCATCAAAAGGAGTAGGAAAACTTCATTTTATTGATGTAAATGTGGATACAAACAAATATTTGGCAATTTTAGAAGAATCGCTTTTACCAGTGATGGAAGAGTGTGCCACATCCGGCCAAGATTTTGTGTTTCAGGAAGGTGGTGCAGCGTGCGATACCTCAAAAAAGGCTATAAAATGAATGGAAGAAAAAAATGTATCACTTTTGAAATGGGTTTCTAGCAGTCCAGATCTGTCACCTATTGAAACTTTGTGGCACGAGATGAAAAAGGTTCTACGACAACATCCTGCTCGTACAATCACCGAACTGAGACAAAAGCTTCAAGAAATATGGGATTGTCTTACACAACATTTTTGCCAAAACTTGGTTAACACTATGCCCCAAAGAATTTCAGCCGTAATAAAAAATAAAGGTGATGTTACCCAATGGTAATCTTTCAATTGATGCTTTGTTAACTTCGCGCATTTATTCGCACACTGTTTATTTGTTCAGATGTTCTATTAGTTATAGGTCTAAGTGATTTCAGATATGTATTTTTTACGACTATAGTGTATCTAAAATGTTATTGAGAAAATAAATTGTTCTAAAAGTAAATAGTTTCGTCATGTTTAGTTTATAAAGGCATATTTTGGTACAAATCTTGAAGTGGGCCAACTGAAGTGGAGAGAGGCTCGTATATTCCAATAAAAATTTTTATTATTACTATTTGCGCAGCCAGTTATAAGTTTGAAGTGATTATATTACAAGTCATATAAAACCACCTTTGACCTTCTTTCTGTATCTTAATCAGCACAAGGTAGACGACGTTACAAAGACAAAAGGCGTGATAGCTAGATATGCAAATTTTAATGCACTTTTTACGGCTTGAATATGCATAATTAGACGTTCCGTCTGCCGAAAGGAGCATATTTGAGAAACTTAGTGGCTAAAGTTGAAGCTGTTGTCGCTATCCTTGTACCAAATATTATAGCAGTACCATTATGTTGTAGTTATATGAATGTAACAATTTGCATTTACTGAATTTCTTATAGTTGAACATTGGTCACTACGACTAACGACAGGCAGACAATTTTATCAGTTAAATATTTCATAGTATCCTACCTGAATAGTTATTTTCGAGCCTCTGTCAAACCACTCGACCAAATACACAGTTTAGCAATCGCGAACATGTAACATTACATCTAAATCGATAGATCACATCACACACATCATATCGGTCTGTCGGTCTGACTGTCCGCTAATCCTTGGCCACTCCACAACCCGAAAAGTGCCGGTTAGATTATGATGAAACTTTGAAACGGGGCCATTGTTACGTCAAAGACGAAAAATAAACAAAAGCTTCGGTTTTTTGATCTTTAAAGATCCTTCTGTTCATTCCTGAAAATGTTTTGATGGGAGTTGAAAATTGGGTATTGAGGGTTGTAAGGAGTGGACGATTGTAACTCTTTGATGCCGGTGAAAAACGTTTTATTAAATATTGGTACTCTCGGGATCTCAATCTAGCAGGTAGAGATAATTTATGAGTCGATGGCGTAATTCACAGAACAAATGAGACAACTATCCGTTTGCATGTTCATATAGTTGTCATAATTGACACTATTCGTCATTGTCTATCAGAGCGGTCCGTAGGACCTTTGCTCTTGGTTGAAGTCTTGTAAGTCAGTAGGTCTGTCAGGTCTGGTTGCCCAGATACCAAACAAAGTCAGGGAGAAAGAAGGGAAGAAGAAAGGAAGGAAGGAAGGAGGGAGAGCAAAGAAAAAAGAAGTGCATCAATTTGAGGGGTGGCTTGGCATTGCTAGTTAGTATTCGGTAATTTTAAATTGATCCTAAAATTAATTTTGGGATTGGTTGTTGAAGAAAAATTATAATTTTGGTTGGACCTAAAGTCGCAGGACTTAATTTTGTTCACAGTGCGAGGCGCGGCCTTGTGTGCTTGCGAACTTGCTCGACTGTGTAGTCTACTGATTCGCGCAACAAAGGGTTGCGATTCTGCTTGACTGTAACGTAGCTGTGCTTGTTGTTTGATGTAGTCCCTTAGGTAAGGGATGTCAAGGTCTCTGTGAAGGGTCTCGTTGGAGACATACCATGGGGCGTTGGTGATTGTACGCAAGGTTCTGTTCTGCAAAACCTGCAGGCTACGCAAATGCGTTTTGGCGAGAAAACACCAAGCCGCACTTGCGTAAGTGATCGCTGGTCTAATGACCATCTTGTATAGCCGAACTTTGTTGATCAAACTTAATTTTGATGTTCTACATAGCATAGGGTAGAGTTGCCGAAACGAGATTTGGAACTTAGTTTTTAACGCTTCACAGTGTGCTTCTGCCAGGTTATCCCCTTGTCAAGAGTGACACCGAGATACTTAGCAGAGCTTTCCCATGCTACCCGAGCTCCATTCACTGAAACCGCTACGATTTTTAGTACAATAGATTGCCTGCATTTTCGAATAATTAATTTTGATCAGCCATCGATTCGCCCATTCCACTACCTCGTCCACTGCACTTTGCAGCCTGTCGTGAACTAGATCCCCAGAGCACGACTGGGCCACCAGGGCAGTGTCATCAGCATAGAGATAGGTTTCACAGCTGCTGGGGCAAGGGACGTCATGAATAAAAAGTGGAAAAAGGACTGGTCCAAGAACCGAACCCTGAGGGACATCGGCTTTGATGGGCCGTGTTGTCGACAGAACGTTATTAATTTTGATCCGAAATTTCCTACCCTCGAGAAAGGATTTCAAAAGTTTTAGGAGCCAGAAGGGGAAGCCCTTATGGATCAATTTGTAGAGAAGGCCCTTGTGCC